CTAATTACATATTGTGAGCTTTACTTCTAAGTCACCATGTATATGATTGTAGTGTAGTTATGCATCAGAAAAAAGGGTAGTTTAGGAACCAAGGATTAACTTACAATAGTTACTGTGTTCATACCTCTTCCATAGGTGCACATAGCACGCATTGTCAAAAGGCAATAGGAAAATCTATTTCTATTATGCAAGGGATTGTCAAGAAAGGGGGATCCTGTTATATAAGCAGAGGCTGATTCCCATGGATGGAGGCGTATCTTGGTGAAATCATTTGAACCAGCAAGTTTACCTCGATTCCTTTCCTAGCAGCAAATCAATCTGAAGAACATCCAGAACATCAGTGTCCCTCACATTTCCTTCCCTATATTTTAAAATGAAGGTTAATTGGAAAGAACTAATAAGCAACCAAGCCATGTAATATATATTTTCCCAAGTCCCATTACAAGTTGCTTCATCATGCCATGATAAAAAGTTTATGGACCATATAATCAGACCAGGCTGACCCTGAATGGTCTTACTGACCCTCATCACAGAAATGCAAATTAGGAAAAAGAGGGCAGAATGATGATTTCTTACAGAAGCGTGTAATGCCATGTGAACAAAGTAACCTTTGCCAGAAGCTTCTAAGAAACAAAACAAAACAAAACCAAAAAACCCTCAGTTCCTTTAACTTTTCCCAGCACATTGGCACCACCTAGCGTACTCGAAAAACGACACATCAAAAGGCAATCTCTGCCTCCAAATCTAATTTTTCCATACCGTAATCCAGCTACAGGTTATGCCACGCCAAAAGGATTTTTTCCCCAAACCAAATGAATGAAATTCTGTGTGGTAACTGGAAAGAAGCTAAGGAGGTGTCCAACTAAATGCTAAAACTAAATATAGGGTTTCATATCAGTTGTGTTTCTAGGTATGCTAAATAAAAGACTTCATAAATCTTTTCACAAAATGAAACAAATGTAGAGGCCAATATTAATCAACGCTTTAGGAAGGGTGATGTATTTTCAGCAGCTGGAGGGAGAGAGAAGGGTGATAACATGCAGGGTTCAGGGAGTTCAGTTAACAAGACTTAGAAGTGATTCATCAGAACAACTTTTTCCAGCCTGGTATCCTTAAAATGTACTGGATTAAAACAGGTTGGCATGATGGGATTTGTAATCTAATTATCTGAAGTTATTAGGATGAAGAAGTGTGATTTATATTTTCAATGGAGCACTGACATCAGGCAAATGGCCACAACCTCTAACTTTTGATAGACAGCTGTCAATTCCCTGTGAAATCATGTCTGTAGGTTCAGGACAGATTGGGAATTGGCTTATGGAATTCAGTGAAAACTATCAAAGGTATGAAAGTAGGTTCTGTGAGGAAAAGATGAAAAAGCCACCGGGAAAGTTAATTTTTAAAAGCACACAGGATTTGGAGCTTAAAATGAATGTATTTCCATTTTTGGACAATGTTACTGACCTTAATTCAATCTGAAGTAGATATCCTGAACCAAGGGAGAAAGACTATCAAAAATCACTGTATGCTTTGATCAACTGCTGTAGAGGTAAAGAGTGATGTAGGCAGTGGTCAGCAACCTCCATAAACACCACTTCAACTACTAGAAGGCGATAGCTCACTTCGTTTAACCTCCTTTGACCCGTTCAGCACATGCAGAAACCCCAAAATACATGAAGCCCCCTCACTATGTGATCCAAAAAAGATGTTTCTCGAGGGGATTTTATTCTAAGCAAGACATTCTTGCAAGCCAGTGCCAACAGAGAAATGCCAACAGAGAAATCTTAACACAATCTCCCCATCGTCATGAGGAAGAAAAGAGCTCATCTCCCGGTAACTTCAGGAAAACGTCCAAGCAGTTTTCTTGGCAAAATGCAGAACTGGGCTTCTGCTGTCTTCTTCCAGGATGCTTTTGGCTTCCTAGTCTACAGCTTCCCTGTAGTACTTCCTGATAGGTTCCACCCACGTTGTGGGGATGGGATATAGTTCTGCTATATTTTCCATTCACCCTACCACACAAATTAGGGAGTGTAACTGCTCAAACCAAGGGCAGAATACTGTATAAGTAAATGGACAAAAACAATGAGAGGAAAAGTGTGCTACCTAGTGGTCAAATGTGTGCATTACTATGGTATCCGGCCTTCAGAGATTTAGAATGAATAGGACCGGTTTCTCCTGCTTTTGTCTCTTATTTAGAACATGCTATTGAGAATGATTCGTTTAGAACAGTGTTGTCCAAACTTGGCCACTTTAAGATGAGTGGACTTCAACTCCCCGAAATCCCCCCCCCCGCCCTCCCTGTGGGGGGATTTGTGGGGTTGTAAGACCCCAACCTCTAGTGGGCAATTGGGAAAGACACGGTTTATAGAGGTGT